TTAGAATATTACATGATTTCTGTATAGTTGTGGATATAGATGGATCTCAAAAAAGTTTAGAATATTACATGATTTCTGTATAGTTGTGGATATAGATGGATCTCACTGAAATGCATAAATTGGTTTGTGCTTGAGTTTGTCCCTGCTTTTTTACTTTATTGTATTTGCAAATTTTGCTTATCACTATTAACCTAATAATCAAAATCTAAGAATGCTATTGCAAATTAAGAGAATAATATGACAACTTAAGTATTTCCCCTATATTATAATCCGTCTATTTGGTAGAAGCAGAGTACTGAATTTGTTGCCGTTAAATTTATATTTGACCTACATTTTTCAAGTTTATGATAGATTCTATATTTTTTAACATTGAAATCAGTCGCTATTTGGTTCTTTACTTCACTGATTCTCAACTCAATCTTTGACTTGTGGTCAATCCACTTTGTTGATGTCTCTAGTTGAGTCATGACATGGTGGCCACATTGGTTTTGTTTGCAAGCTATGATGCCTTTTCTCTTTGTTCTAATTCTAACTCAAAATTTTGTGTATCTCTCCATCACCCAACATTCTTCCACAACGTGCTTCTAGTGCTTTCTCCTTTGAATTTATTTGTATCTCTTAGGAAGACTATTGGTCATTTTTATAGACAGTCTTAAACGTTGTTCTCAGTTTCTTATGCTTTCTTTCTTTAGATTCACTGAGGCTATTTTCACTGGTACATATTGGGTGTTAGATTATGGTGTCTCTTCACACATGATAGGTAAATGCCAACCGTTTTTCTCAATTTACATTTCTTCTCTACCCCATTTCAATATTTTTGATGATCCAACCCTCTTATTTTTGGAAAAGGGGATTGCTCATCCTTCTAAATGTATATTTTACATAGCAATCTTAGACATCATTTTCAGCATCTTATGCTTTCTTCCATTAAATTCACTGACTGTTTTTATTGTTATGTTCTGGGTTTTAGATTATTTTGTCTCTTCCATACAATTGGTAAATGTCAAACCATTTTACTTTGTGTATATGCTGTCTCTACCTCCATCATTGTTGCTTATGATTCCCTTATCCTTTTTAGAGATGGAGAATTGTCCATCCTTCTATATTTCTCATTTTTAATCCTTTCATGTGCTCCAAACTTTCTTGTAACCTATTGTTTGTTCAGTATTACTAAATTCATAGTTATTTTGCATCCTTTTATTCACCTCATTTTTTTTCAAAATCTTGAGGAAAGTGTAGGTGCTGAATCTGACAAAATTTACTGCTTGACAACCAATGACATTTTGCTCTCTATTCTACAAACATTGTTTATCAATGCCGTTGTCGATTGTCTTCTTCCCCTCAAATAGTCCTTCAAATTGAATCCCACTATTTTGTCACTTTCATTAATGATTGGTCAAGTATTAGTCAAAACCTCCTAATGCATTTCAGTCTTACTTTGTTCATGTTTTTCTCTAGCATGCTAAGCTTTTTAATTATATCATTCTATGTACATATACATACATACATATATATATATATATATGAGGAGGAAGATACGAGGCACAATTTCTTTGAATGTGTTTTTTCTTTAAATGTTTGGAATATGTTTGGCTCACATTTCGGTATTTCTTGGTTACATAGGGGCACTTTAAGCAATTATTTGTGGCAATGGAAGGATTTTGATGTTAAAAGAGGGGGGTTTCCTCTCCCTTTATTAGTCCTCTGGTTTTTATGGACCTCCAGAAAATAGTTTTAAATACCATACTTCCCCCCCACTGCTTCTATGACTGTTGCTTATGTGCTTGCCTATTACAATAAGGTTCTAAGGGCCAGTTCTATTGATGTTCCTAATTTAAGGGTCCCCCCCCCCCCCCCCCCCCCCCCTTCCCCCCCCCTTTTTTAAAATGTGGATGGCTATTGGAATCCTGTCTATGTTGCGGTTGGGGACACATTTAAGGATTTTGAGGGTAGATGTCTCTGTTATTTCACCTCTCCTGTTGTCGCTGACAACCCATTGGCCACAGAATGCTGAGGGTTTTTTTGGCTTTAATGGTGGCTGCTGTTTTCAATTTTCATAATATTGAGGTGGAAACTGATTCTAAATTGCTCTATGATACTCTTTTGGGTATCTCTCCTCTCCTCTGAGATATATTTTGCACTTTTAAACATATTTTAACTTTTATGGCTGAAAAACATCTTGAGGTAAATTGGAAATTCATTCATAGAGAGGGCAACTCCCCTGCTGATTGGTTAGCCAAGCATGCAGGGGAGGTTTGTCACGTCGGTATTTACCCCCTGCTCCTCTCAGATGCCTCCTCATTGGGGATAACTTGAATTTGCCTTATGTCCGTATTTAAGCCTCTCTCCTCTTTTGAGATTTTATTATGCTTGGCAGGTTTTCGTATTTTTGCAGCAGGCTGATTTCTGTCTCCTTGCTTTTTGTTCCTGATTCCTGTTTCTGTTTTTTTCTCACGTCTTCCGCTGGTTACTGCTGTTTTGGACCTCTCTGCTCTACGCTCTTGTTTTTCAAACGCTTTTTGGTTGCTAGTGGGAATGCTTTTGGAGAACTCTACTAACCTGAAGACACTTTTTGTACATGTTTTTTCTATTTTTTTTATTTCAAGTTATACTAGAACACAGGTTTACTTATTTTTGGGTTTTTGTTCTTTGGTTTTGGGTATACATGTATTTTTGGAGTTTTCTTTTTGTGTGAGTTGTACTGTGAGGAGAGGAACCCCTAGGGGTGAGTCAAATGTTTTTTTTTGTTTTCATAGATGGGGATCCTCCCCCCTCCTATTTCTGTACTTTTTCTTTTAATTAACGCGTAGGGAGCCACCGCTGCTCTTTCCCAAAAAAAAAATATATATTTAGAAATAGCCCAAAGGCTGATATATTAAAGAGAAACTGTGCAGAAACTGTGCAGATAGGTTGTATGAGAGGGCCTAAATGAAAACCCAACTCACACGTTACAACACACACAAAAACCCAATAAAGCAAAAATACATAAAGATTAAAAAAAAACCAGAAAGCCACCAACCGGCTCAAAAGTGCTAGGGTCGTCCCACTTTAGTCCTACCTCTGCCTCTAGTTCTCGGAAGGGAGCGAACTAACAAATTGGTAAGGTTCGTACCATTCCACCATCATAATAAAGTCATCAACTTGTTGGATTTGTGATAGTCCCACTGCAAAATCTGTTCTCACGTCCATTCATACAACTCTATATATATATATATATATGCCAATCCTTTTTTGGCATTGCTAGAGCTAGAACTACACAGAGACTAGTATTCTTGCAAACCAAGTCTTGAGCCATTAAATTTGTAACCTATTTTTTCCACTCATACTTGGTTGGGTGCATTCGATAAACAAGTTTGCTTGGAAGAACCAACCCTAAAAGAAAATCTTCGGCATGCTGAACCACTCTCAGTGCAAACCACATATGAGGTAAACTATTAGTCAGGATATCAATTAACTCCCTAAATAGTGCTGATCCTTTTAAGGTATTAGCTTGTCAAGCTCATTACTTTTTAGGACAACAAATGCCGGTCTTGTTGGACTCTCTAATGGGCTGCTTGAATCACTAGCATCTTTTCCTTGTTGGTTGTAAGCGGTTAGTCCTCTCTACTGTCTTAATTTTCTCGTGTTACCATTTATTTCTTCAATTGTTTGCTGCTTAGTGAAAGCGATCATCCTCCTATTTGGGCAATTTGATGAAATGTTCCCGAAACCATGACTCTTCAAGAGCTTCTTGGCTAGGACTGATTTGAGAGCGTTTTTTGGCTCCACATGTTCTTCATTCTAAACTAGTTTTTTCTCAGGTGGGTTTAGCTTGGATGCTCCACTGGGTAAATTTTAGCTGCTTAATCCTGGGGTTGAATTCAGTTTGTGAGTTGTGGCAGGCACCTGTGACATTGTTGTTTCTCCACCTTCATGCATAAAGTATGGGCCAATTTTGCTGCAGTTGCATCACATTACTAATAGATGTCCTTTAGTCCTCCAAGATATCTTGCTGCTGCGTGCTCCTCTGGTTCCACCAACTCACATTTTAGTATGAGTTGATCAAATTGAACTGAGTACTCAGTAGAAGAATCTCTCTGTTGTAGGTGTTGGAGTTTTATGAACACATCCTATTAGTAATGCGGGGGAAGATATTTGCGTTACATCTCCTTTGTCAGTTTAGACCAGTCAGTGATTTTACTTTTCCCCTCACGTTGGCGAATATGCTTTAGATTCTCCTATCACAAGGACGTATTCTTCCTGAATTTGACTGTCAATTTAACTCTCATATCTTGAAGAATGTCTTTGGACTAACAAAAATTGTTCCACTGTTTGGAGTCACTCGACAAATTTGTCCGGATTTATGCGACCATTAAAATATGAGAAATTCACATTTACTTCAAAATTTTGGCTTCTCTAATATTCTATGTCAAATCATTGCGTGTTGGCTCTTTTTCATTGGAAACTTTCCGAAGGAAGGGATTTTCCTCCTCCCGTCAAGCTGGAGAGTCACTGTTGTGGCTAATGATGATCTCACCGGATTGTCTCCTCTCAAAGATACTAACCCTTGTTGCATTTGAAGAATTTTTTTTGCATATCCTCCATGGTAAGTTCGTGGACACCACCACATTGAGTTTTTCTCCTATGCAACACCGTCTCATTTTTGGTGGGGTGTGTTGGGGTGAATTTTTTTGTTTTTTTATTCATTATTTATTAATTTAGTTTCTATTTTATTTTTCCCCCTTTTCTTTTTCTCTTTATAATACTCAAAATATCATTGAAGTTTTTAATGCGATTGTCAAGTTTGTCCCAAAAAAAAATTTATGAATGTGATGAAGCTGAAAGCTAGTTTCTACTTTTCATTAGTTTTTTGTTGGCTGTTAATAATTTATTGTTGTTGATTTTTCTAAAGATCAATGCTACATTTCGATTCTAGTTACTTAAGCAAGCATTAGTTCCTGTAAATAATTGATTAAGTTTACAATCCTATTCTTCACCATTTATAATTTTCTAATATTCAGGTGGACATATGGGATGAACGAAAAGTTTTTGGATCTCGTGGCCGAGGGCTGAAAGATGTCATTCTTGGTAATGCACCACCTGTTCCACCTCCGTTGTCAGAAAACAATGGGAAGAATTCCAATCCCATTAAATTAGTGAAGAAAGATGCTCATTCTGTGAGAATAGTGAGTGACTTCTTTATAACTTCAATGTCCGAATTATTGTTTTTTTTTCCTTCTTGGCAAATGGCCTTTGTATATCTGTTCTTATAGATGTTATTCAAATTTTAGAAACTAGCCGTCGGGGGAATGCCTGAAAGAATTGTAACTGCATATCAAGCTGTTCTGGATGAGCATTTTGATGAAGACACGGCATTGAACAAATGCAAGTCTGCTGTTTGTGCTCTGGAGAACATGGAGAAGGAAGTTAATGATGCCTATGCCCTGGGTAGGATAAATAAATATACTTGCAGATCGTTTTTCTCCGTGTGAACTTATTAGGGAATAGTTACTGTCATTGTTTAGTATTATTGCTGAAGTTCAGTGTGTCCACATGTTTTGCGTTTATATTTATAAGTGTTTTGTTGACTCACTGAGGTTATTAGCTTGACTATACTATTGCATGATCTATAATTTGTAATACACGGCACTTTCATTGGTTGTTGTGTCTTTGGTAAGTTATAATAGTAGGAATTGAGTTTGCCCTAGCTTTTACTTATAATATAAGGAGAAACTTATTATATGAGGAGAAACGTTGTAATTTAATCATTTAGAAATAAAAGAGTATTGTTTTTCTTCTCATTTCTTCATGGTATAAGGGCGTCAAGTTCAGCTGGTTGCGTCTAGTTTCCTCGACGACATCATTTGCGTCGTCTTCAGCCCTGTATATCATTGTTTGTGATGTCTGCGACTGGCGTAGTCTGATTAGTCTTCATCCACATTGTCTGCGACGTTATGCGGTTTTGGCTGCACCGCCTCTGATGTCTTCTTCCTGTGTCTTCTGCGATGTTATATTGCGTCGTTTGCTTTGCCTCTGACATCTTCCTGCACTGTCTGCAATGTCTCCTTCCCACAAGTCTGCTTTGTCTTCTTGTGCTTTGCCTGCAAATTCTTCCTTTTGCGTCGTCTACGATGAGATTAGGGCTGCTGCCAGCCATTCTGCAGACCCTCCAAACTCTAGCTCATGCTTCCTCCGCCTGCAGCTGTCTTGCAACGAGATAGGACAGCCAGACCCTCTCAGCCGCAACTTTTGTCTGTAGGCCCTCCTGAAGGCAACCCAGCGACTCCTTCTTGAGCAAATAGAGCAACCGTTAGCTTCCTCTATTCATGCAATAAGCAACGACCTTATCCAACCCTAAACATGTATAGAGCTTAAGAAAAAATACGACAAGAAGATGACAGCTCTATTCTGGAGGTTAGTTTTGAATCAGAGATAAAAAATTCTGCCCAGACGACCCCGTAACTCTCACTTTATCACATTTCATAAAGTCAACGACCACAACTTCCTTCATCGGTCCCAATCAGTGTTTTTATTTATTTGTGGCAAAGGAAAAGAGGAATATCGAGTGGGCACTGTTCTTGAGCTCACCGATCCTAACCAAAACTCATGGAAGATCCAGGTTCACATGACTATGTCTTAGTTGATGAATTTCATGACCACATAAATTGGTGAAAATTTCTTGCTTTATAAGACAACACAGGAGATTTGGGAAGTATCACGTGAGACGTATTCCTGTACCGAATACTCTGCAAAATTGATTGATTTGTTTGAGATTAAGACAACACTGCATGAGATCTAACAAGAAGAGTTAAGTGTAACTCAATACTTCAAAGCACTTGTAAAGTACTTGGCGTGGGACGCTCTCCCTGTTTCACCTCTTCGAACTGCACGACTTGGAGTAAGCATGTCCTGCCATTCACGCTAGATCGGACCATTCCTCGAAATTAAAATGCCGATCCATCTGATTTGCTCTCCCTACTCCATTCCGCATCGCATACTCCCCCCGTGCCCTAATCTTACGCCTCTTAGCTGTTGTTGCGCATCTTCCTCTTCCTAGCTATTGCAAACCTTCCATTTCTCACCTCTTTCCTTCTCAGGATCTTGCCTTTACTATCTTCCCTCCCTCCTTTATTTGTGCATGTTGTTTCTGATGTCTAAGCAGTTTTTTTTCCTTGTGATTTCTGATTTCAGGTGTTGTCCCTGGTGTTCCCTCTTCGAAGGTTGTATCCTTCGGCGACGTGGTGTTGCAGATGTATTACGTCAAGGTGGTGTTTATCCCCAATCCGTTCCACCTTTCAGTATCATCCCTCCACCTCCTCACATCCGCAAATCCCCCAGGCATTATCTTTTATTCCTGCGATGTCTCCTGTCCGCCGCAACACTTTCAATTACCAAGCAGTCCTCTGCTAGCTGCAACCCTCTCTCATGTGCCCCTTAAAGCTAGCAGCCGGTACTTCAAGATCTTCCCAGGCTACTTCGCGGTCACATCCCAACACTCCTCCTGTCACCTCAGGTCTCCTCGAGGAACGTCCAACCGCTGCTGACAACTTCCTCCCTGCCTCAGTGACTTTTTTAACCGCGGGTCGACGCTATCCATGGCTGTTTCTGATCCGTCCTTAAGCTAATTTTCTGCAATCAATCTTGTTTTACTGTTTGTATGTTTGTTTTATTATCTATGTATTCATGTTTGCTTTTCTTGAGTTCTCGTTGGTTAGAGAGCGTCCTTGTACCCGTCTTTTACATTTTCAACAATAAAAATTAATCGTGTTTGAATCATGGTTTGGGTTAACTCCGGTATCAGAGCTAGCCCAACCCTAGTTATTCCCTAGGGTTCACCAGCAGCCGCCCCCACCCAATCCAACAAAATTTTTCTTTCTCTCCCTCCTCTCCTTTCCCTCTTCACTTTTTTCCCTCCGTTCTTGTCTTCTCTTTCCATCATCTTGTCTCTTCCCAAAACAATTCCAATCATGCCACCTCGATGGTTTGCGTCGGACCCAATCAAGGAAAAAATTCAACGAGAGATTCGTCGCGTACAACAATGATTGCCAGAGATGTACAATGGGACTCAAGGCTATGTTATTCTCTACCGTGACATCGATAGTCGAAGAGGAGACCATGAAGACGACCTAAATCCATTTCACCGCGATGAAAAATATCTCCCAAGCCTCTTTGGCATTCACTATCACAGGAGACCTAGAAATGAGCCCACATTCGGCATCCATTGTGATTTCGACATAAAATGGTCCTACCGGAATTCGACGGAAGCATGAACCCCGATGACTTCATTGGTTGCAAGAGATTGAACGTATGGGAGGTACCTGAAGACAAACGAGTTAAGTTTGCCGTTATCAAACAAAAGAAAAGCACATCATTATGGTGGGAAAAGTTGCAACGACAATCACAATACGACAGAGATGACAAGTTCACTATGTGGGCAAAAATAAAGAAGGCAATGCATCGCCGGAATAATTCAATAGTGTAATATATCAGTCGAGAATTTCGTGACATAATTCGATGATCTACAGATAAAGTGCGACCTAGTTGAGCAAGAGGAGCGCACAATCATCCGCTATCTCGAAGTTTTAAAACCCACTATTAGCAACATTGTCTACTCCAACCATACTGGACGCTAAATGATGTCCAAACCCTCACATTAAAAGTGGAATGATGGCATAAGAAAACTAAATCTCAAAACTTCTTGCACCAACAGTCAACATACAAACTATCACCTCAAATCACACCTGTCAACAAAACCACGATGGAAGCTGGCAAGTCATCATCAGGAAACAAGAAAAGCATTTCAATCCGCATGAAAAAGGAGTTCCTTCGAGATAATTCCTACACAAAAATGTTTTAGTTGCCACTGGTACGACCACATCGCGGCCAATTGCCCCACCAGTCGTGTTGTCCATTTACTTAAGAAGGCGTCGTCGAAGAAATCAAGAAAGTCGAGGAAACCCAATCTGAGGATGGTCCAAAAGAAGCAGTTCTCCTCCCCGGTGACAAAGACAAACTGCTAGTGAAGTGTCCTTCTGTCAGAACCCGACAGAGATCCGTCATGGCTATCACACAACATCTTTCGCACCACATGCACCGTCAAGGGCAAAATTTGCGGTTTAATCATCCATAGCGGTAGTTGCGAAAATGTCGTATCTACCCTAATGGTCAAAAAGTTAGGTTTAGCCACACAAAAACACCCACGATTCTACTCTCACTTGGCTCAAAAAAAGAAACGAGATTCACATCAATCAACAATGCTTATTCAAATTCTCCATCGACAATCAACTACAAAAACAAGTTTGGTGCAATTTCATCCAAATGGATGCATGTCACATTTATCTGGGACGACCATGGTAATTTGACTGACAAACACATCATGACAACTTCAAAAACACCTACACATTCAAGAAGTATGGAAAACACATCTTGTTATTGCCTGTAAAAGATCCACGACCCATGATCTGACTCCGAAGGCACATTAATATCACAACCACCTTCCTGCAATTAGCTCGCAGTGCCCCAATCGCATTAGCCCTGATCCTCCTAGAAGGTACCGGCTAGGATAATGAGGCACCAACACAACTTAAACAACTCCAACATTATTTCCTAGACGTCATGACCGACTATCTCTCAGGCGGATTGCCCCCACTGCAGGGCATCCAACATGCAATTGACCTCACACCAGGGTCGGTACTACCAAATAGACCCGCCTACCGATTACAACTCGTAGAGTACGAGGAACTCCAACGTCAGGTGCAGGAACTTATTAAGAGAAGACTGGTACGCGAAAGCACCAACCCATGTGCTGTTCCCGCCTTTATCGTACATTAGAACGATGGATCTTGGCGGATTTGCTTTGACAGTCGTGCCATAACCAAAATTATAATCAAATATCGTTTTCCAATACCGCGACTCGACAATCTTTTAGATCAGTTGTACGACGCCACCGTCTTCTCAAAATTGACCTAGGAAGTGGTTACCACCATATCAGAATGCGACGGAGAGATTAATGGTTACCACTAGATCAGAATGCGATAGAGAGATTAGTGGAAAACCGCCTTCAAAACATGAGACAACCTTTATGAATGGACAATCTCACCTTTTGGTCTGTCCAACACGCCCATCACCTTCATGTGTCAAATGAATCAAGTTTTTCTATATTGGGAAAATTCGTGGTGGTTTACTTCGATGATATCTTGGTTTATAGTAAATCCGAGGAAGTCCACAAATAGCACCTGCGGAAGGTATTCAAAATCTTACGATCCGAGCAGTTGTACGCCAATCCCAAGAAGTGTCGCTTCTTTACAAACAAAATCTATTTTTTAGATTACATTCTGTCTAGCACGGGGATACAAATGGACCTAAAAAAATCGAAACAATTGTAAGCTGGACAACACCTTCATCTTTTATCAGCTTCGATAATTTTTAGGGCTAGCCTCTTTCTGCCG